TCTCTTCCCCCTCCCCAGCCTAGTGTGCAACACACTCACACACACACACACACATACGCAAGTTTCTCTCTCTTTCCTATTTTGTTCACTGTTGTACTTCTGTTTGTTCTGGGAACAATATGACAAGCTGAGTTCCCTCTAGTGGACAAAACCACTTTTGTCAGCTACTGTGACTGCTGACCAAAGCCAGCAAGGCCAGGCTTTTACTGCTGGTATCAGACCTTTCAAGAATAATATATTCATAGGTAGGAATTTAGTGTGACTCTCTTAAGAGATTGTATCCACAAATTTATGCATGTGTTTACCTAAAATAAATTAATATTTTGGAACCATACTAAGTGCATTTGCTTTGTTAATGATTTTGGAACTAAAGGAAGCATCTTTTAATGAGAATCCCATGCGTTGTTATTGAATGCTATAATGAAAACCACAGGGAAACTACTGTACTGTTAGGTCTTTTAGCTTTTGTAAGATCTGAAAAGTATCTTTAACTTAAAAATTATTTTAGGACTTTTCCGCTTGTAAAGTTTTTCTAAAGATTAAATTTAAATTTTCATGTGTCAGTGTTTTATTATTTCCCTTTTGAAAGGTTATTAGTTGCTTGTCCCCTGGCTAGCTCCTGAAATATCTTTCCTTTTAAATTTAATTTGTTTCCTTATCTTTCAGGGAAGATACCTTTCGTGGTCATTTGTCTTCTGGGCATTTTTTGGCCAGGTGCTGCTGGCATCTAGTAGGTGGAGGTTGGGGAAGCTGCTAAACATCCTCCACAGGACAGTCCCCACAACCAAGAATTATCCAGTCCAGAATGTCAGTAGTGCCACGGTGGAGAACCCCTGCTCTAAAATAACCAACTTTAGATTGACCACACTTCCAAAACAGCAGCACACCAGGCATCGCCTCTTGATGAAATCAGAGAACCTGTCGTCCTCCCCAGGGCGACACTGGCCTCCTGGAATCAACAGGAGAGCCTGCTTGTCTTTCCCCTGTTCAATGCTCTCCTCTGCCAGGGAAGGAGTTTTCCTCTCCCTTCTGTCAGCTGAAGCTGTCTTACAGTATGAAAATCGGAAGACTTAACATAGATGTTTTAGCCTGATGTCAAGTCATCCATCCTGCCTTTGCATCTGCTCCTAAGTTATCTGTTCAAGAATGACTGTGCCTATTTCCAAAGCTATCATCTTTCTAACTTATTCTAGGCCTTAAGTCTATCTGTGGTAACCTGTCTGGTGCTGAAGGTTTTCTTACATCTAACCTAAATTATTCTTGCTGCAGATTAGCTTCAATTTTTTTGTTTGTTTGTTTTGTTTTTTTACGGTACGCGGGCCTCTCACTGCTGTGGCCTCTCCCGTTGCGGAGCACAGGCTCCGGATGCGCAGGCTCAGCGGCCACGGCTCACGGGCCCAGCCGCTCCGCGGCATGTGGGATCTTCCCGGACCGGGGCACGAACCCATGTCCCCTGCATCGGCAGGCGGACTCTCAACCACTGCGCCACCAGGGAAGCCCCAATTTTTGTTTCTTTACTAGAAAGTTTGCATAATTACCCTTTGTATACTTGAGGTATTTTGCTGAGTAGCTTCCACACTGTGGTTTTCTCTAATGGTAAGCCTTTTAATCACTTTTATACTTAGCCATTTTTACAACTCTATTCTGAAATTCCTTTGAGTTGGAAAATGGAGGCTTGAGCCAGATATAGTTTTGACCAATACTGTGTATATGATGCTTTGAAAAAGCATTTTCTGTATTGTTTACAAGTCATGGGCCCTAACCTCTGGTCCTTTTTCTGCTGTGTTCCTAGTTATTTCTTATATTTATATGCTTTATATGCTTTATCCCCTACTCCTGCCATCTCTGAGTATATTACTTGCTTCTTACACCTGTTTCACTTGTTTTATTCTTATTGGCTTCTGATTTGTTTTATATTATTCTGGACTTTCACTCCTTGGAGGGTTTCCCTGCTCATTATGTATTATTTGCTTATATACTATGCATGCTTTTGAGTCCTCCATCCACACGGGTGACAGTGATGTCCAGAATAACCACCGTAAGGCAGTCCTCAACCATCCCCTAAAAGTCCAAGTAAATCATCGATAATCTTGCTTTGAACTTAATCCTCTTACAGGTTTTACATACTTTTCAATAGCTGGATGATAAAGCAGTGGTGTCCAATAGAACTTAACAAGGTCATGGAAATAGTCTATGTTTTATTGCAGCCCCTAGCCACATGTAGCTGTTGAGCAGTTGCAATGTGGCTTGTGTGACTAAGGAGCTTAATTTTAAATTTAATTAATTTAAATTGAAATTTCAAAAAGCCTCATGTGGCTAGTGGCTACCTATTGGACAGTGCAGATGTATCACATTGCTACCCAAAATGTGGTCCTCAGACCAGCAGCATTGCCATCACCTGGGAGCTTGCTAGAAATGCAGAATCTCGGGTCCCTTTAGTTCTACTGAATTAGGTCTGCAGTTTGACAAGATCCTCAGGTGACTTCCACGGCACACTCGAGTTTGAGAAGCACTGATACTTGGCTGTACATTGGAGTCACATGGGGAATTTTTAAAACTATTGCCACTTGGGCCCACCCTCAGTGACTCTGATTTAATTGGTATTAGGTGTGGCCTGGGCTTGGGTTTTTTTTTTTTTTTTTTTAAAAACATCCCCCAAAGTGATTCTAATTATACAGCAAAGACTTGTGGTATTCAAACTTCGTGTGTATCCACATCACCTGGGAATTTGGTAAAATACAGAGGCCCAGCTCTTTCCTGCTTCAGCAGGTCTGGGTCTGGGTCCTTTATTAGCCCTCCAGTGATTCTGATCTCCACATTTGGGGTTTTTAAATTCCTGATCTGGAAGATAGTTTCCCACTTTGTTGGAAGTTGTCATGTAAGCGAGAATGCAATGCCTTGCTGACTTGAAAGAAAATTGTTCTACTAGATCTTTCAGTCATATGACTAAATGAGTGATTTATGAATACTTGTTTTCCACAAAGTGTGCCACTCTTGGTGTTTGCTCAGTGTTTCCCGCGTGTGATTTTTAAAATTAGTTGGTGAATTTCTGGTCTCTAAGACAAGTTTTTCTTCCCCTTTGGACCGTTAGAAGTATCACTCACATTTTGCTTTTCAGAATTGCTAGGAGTTCTGCTCACGACAGCTGGTAGCTTCACTGTCAGTTTGCCAGTTCCTTAAGGTACAATTTGGAAAGACTCTGGATCAGAATGTTCTATAGTACAGAAGCGTCTCAGACTCAAGAAGAGCCCAACCCCTGTTCCCCACATAGCCCTCAGTCAGTCAGATGCAGCCTGTCAGCTGGGGGCAGTTGGTATGGAGGGGTGATTTAATGGTGTCTGTGGTACATTCAGATCCCGGCCCATTCCAGACTTTAGGCTACAGGGTCAGGAGTGTTGCATTTGCCGTAAGTCTGTCATGGGAGCTGGGGAAGGGAATGGATAACTAGATGACTCTTTTCCTTTTTTAAAATGTGCTGTTAAGTTTTATGTCAGCCAAAAAACTTTATTTTTGTGATCAGGAAACTTTTTGTATGCTAATGCAGCCAACTTTTGTTAGACCAGGAGTTTATTAGCTATTTGTTTCTGGGAAATAGGATAAGAATTGATGAGGGTTTGGGAAACATGTTAGTAAAAAACTCATTTTTCTCTGCAAAAATTAATTGCTATTAAAAACATGTCACAGAACTGTCTTCCTTCTCTGATAATCAACTTCAGTTTCAATCCTTGTGTTTCCTACAGTAAAATTGTGGGTGGAACGTGAAGTGAGTGTGGATTGCTTTTAACCTGTGATGACTTCAGGGCTTTACTAGGAAGTCAGCAGCTTTTCTATGGCTGTCCCTGCCCAGATAATGGCAGGTCTGAAATCAAAAGTCATCAAATATGACGTGGGAAAGGCAATCAACTTGTGTCTTAGTGGAGATTAAGTAGACTCTGTGCGACCTCTCTGGCAGCAGTAGATAAGAAAAAATGAGACAAAAGAGCCCAGGAAAAGAAGGCTGTCTGAGCACTAGAAGGACACAGATTTGCAGCTGGTTCTCTTAACTGAGGACTTGTCCTAGTAGGAAGCTGTGATCCTGCTACGTTGTGCGGAAACAGCTCGAGAGCCAGGACTCTCCGGGGGCACCCCTTTCCGATGAACTTTAGAGGGCCTTAGACAAAGAGGGGCTCTCTTGGTTTCACTTAAAGCAAGAAGATAACTTCTGGGCAGACTGATGCCATGCTTGGAAGCAAGGGCTTGGAGGCCAACCCTCAATAAACAGTTTCCCTCAGTGAAGGAGCTGGAGCCTCTGTGAGAAACTCTCCAAAAGCCTCCAGCCTGGGATGCATTCCTGTGATAGGAGTCAGCAGTGCTTAAGGTTGCCACAGTGAGCTGAGCAAGCAGAAGCTCACCTCTTTCTTATTCTCCTAACCATGGAGGCAGACTCCATTGGAAGCTTGTTTCTTGTCGGTGAGCGGAGTAAAAATCAGTAGCCCACTGGGGCTTACACGGCAATGGGAGTGAGAAGGCATCTCTTTAAATATTCCTGGTAGGCCTAGGTGATGGCTCTAGACCAGCAGTTGAGTATCACCATGATTTAGGCAAAATCCGAAGCCTGGGAGGTACCCTAGAGGCAAGGAGAACGGGCTGGTTCCATAGATCCAGGGTGGCAAATTGAGAGAAAAGTATGGGAAAGATTGGGTCAAGAAGCATGAGACTTACTCCCAGTTCTAAGAACTGCCCGGCCTTATGTTCCTTGCTTCATGACGAGGCAAATGCTTAAATACAAAACTCAGAAAGGAGGGCACACAAAGCTGATGATAGCAGAGAATCAGGCTATCATTAGAGAATTAGGCCCTTTACAGGTGTTGACTGTATCCAGTATATATTCACTAGGTGGGGAGGGGAGGTTTCTTCCCTTTTGAGGAAGGCGGAGGCTTGGAAAGGCATGGACTGGTGGAATTTGGTGTTTTGAAATGAATGCTGTCTGACCTTGTCTTTCCCTTTGGCTGTGTACCTAGCGTGTGTCAGTTCCTGGAGCTGTGTCAAAGCCCAGAAGGTGGCTTTGGAGGGGGCCCTGGCCAGTACCCACACCTTGCGCCCACGTACGCAGCAGTCAACGCGCTGTGCATCATTGGCACCGAAGAGGCCTATGATGTCATTAACAGGTACAGTCAAAGCCAGCAGGACTGGGCACCCAGCTGGGCTCCCGCCTGCTGACAGTGCACTGACCATCGCCATCTCCTGCCTCTCTCCTGTTCATTTCTCAGAGAGAAGCTTCTCCAGTATTTGTACTCGCTGAAGCAACCCGATGGCTCTTTTCTCATGCACGTTGGAGGTGAGGTGGACGTGAGGTGAGTGGGGTTTTTCTCAGGCAGCTGCATCAGCAGATCCTCGGGTTTATCTGCCATCAGAGATGCCAAGCCCGGGGAACAATACAGGGAAGCTGCTGCCTTGTCTCACCGAATGACATGCAGTGTAAAGTGTCAGTGACACAGTTCATAATCACTGCACATACGATACAGATGTCCTCAGGGGTCACTGTCGCTTGACTTCTTTTATGTAAATGCCAAAATATGAGTAACACAGAAATAAAATCAAATGCTTTTGTTTTAAAAATGAAAAATACATTTGTGTATGAAAGGATATACTGTAAGATGTAACTGTATACTGTAATATAATCTTTCATCTCTCTGGCATGGGAATGGGAGATATTTTCTGAATGAATTTGATGAAATCATGAGACTGTTTAACAACTGTGTGAGAATTGCTTTGGGTGGTGCAGAAACTCTTAGGGGCCAGTAGGGTGTATGACAAACAGTTGCATGAACTGATGGAACCAGCTGGCTCAAAATGATCATTTTTCTCAAGAATTACAAGTACCTAGCAAGTAGTTTACTCACCTGGCAGGAGGTTGCCTATGAAGCATATAGGGAATTCACTGAATTAGTCATTACTCAAAGGCAGTGTGGATCATTGAGATTTTATACCAGATGATTATTCTTTAGTCTGATAAATACATTTTTTATGAGGTTTCTATATCAAAGCCATCTTATTGCCTATTTGTAAATGTATTTTCCTCTACACAAGTTGATTAATATTCTGGCTTAACTATTGGTTTGAAAGTATAGGGGAAGAAAAAAACATGAAAGTTGTGGAGCACAAAACACGTTGCAGATAAAAGTAGGTAACCAGGCTGCAAAGACCTTCAGTGAAGGATATTCTTTTGTCTGTAAGTAGACCAGGTATCTGGGAACCTAGGTACCTGGAGAACTGTCTCTCTACTCCCAACGCTTCTGACATGAAATGTCGGGGTGTTTTTTCCTCGTATTAAACAGTTCCGACCCTGACTACCCAGAGTTAGCACACGTCACAGGTTAAGGGCTCAGTCCCACAAGACTGCCCCCATCTCAGACAGTGGTCACAAGTAGTGGGTTCCCAAGTTACCCACACTTCTGCCTGACTTGGCTACAAACCAGGGGTTCCCACGACCCCCTCCTCATTTTAGTAATTTGCTAGGAGAGCTCAGAATACTCAGGAGAATTTTTTACTGTTTAACTAGTTTATTATAAAGGATGTCATAAAGGATACAAATGAACAGCCACATGAAGGGGTATATAGAGTGAGGGCTGGAAATGTCCAAGCGTAGGGATTTGTGTCCCCGTGACGTTGGGATGTTCCACCCTCCCAGCAGGCACAGGGGTGCATCCACAGCCCAGAAGCTCCCCAGACTCCTTCATCTAGGGTTTTTATGGAGGCTTCACTATGTAGGCATGATTGATGAACTCATCGGCCACTGGGTGATTAACTCAGTCTTCTGGAGAGTGGGCCTGAAAGTTCCAACCCTCGAATCCCATGGTTGGTGCCTCCGGCAACCAGCCCCCATCCTCCAGGAGTCACCTCATTAGCATAAACTCAGGTGTGGTCGAAGGGCGCATTTTATGAATAACAAGACTCTCCTATCGCCCATCAGTCGGGAAATTCCAAACGGGTTTTATGAGCTCTGTGCTGAGGGGAAGACCAAATACGTATTTCTTCTTATATCACAGTATCCCGGTATCTGTTGTTAAGAGATAAATGGAGTCCCATTAACAATTCTATGAATTTATTTGAGCAAAGATTGATTTGAATGAGGCAGCATCCCATCTAGCACACAGAAAGGAGCCCTGAGGAGCTGTACAAAGTGAGAAACTTTTATGGGCAGAAGGGAGCAGGGACAAGGAAGTTAAACCAGGCAAAAAAGCGGGTTGGCTATGTCCACCAGGCAGATTCCCTCACCGCTGCTCGTCAGGTGATTCCTGATTGACGGGTTTAAGATTCCATTTCTGGGAGGGCAGAAACCATAATGAGGTCACGGTTTGGCAATGTGGAGTTTAGCACAAGGGACACTCCCTTTTGGGCCTGTGGTCTTGTTTTTACACTGTGTATGCCAGTGAAGCCAATATAATTATTGAGGAAAAGCAGTATTGTGTTGACGTCTTAAGAAAAAAGTTAAAAAATGTTTTCCCCCTCTTGTTTTTTTTTTTTTTTTTTTTTTTTTGCGGTACGTGGGCCTCTCACCGTTGTGGCCTCTCCCGTTGCGGAGCACAGGCTCCAGACGCGCAGGCTCAGCGGCCATGGCTCACGGGCCCAGCCGCTCCGCGGCATGTGGGATCTTCCCGGACCGAGGCACGAACCCGTGTCCCCTGCATCGGCAGGCGGACTCTCAACCACTGCGCCACCAGAGAAGCCCTGTTTTCCCCCTCTTGGTCACTACATTTTCATCCTGTTCTACAAGTACTCCAAATTTAGCTTTTTAAAGTTTCCTGAGATTATAGGTGAAAGCAAAGAAACCCTGGCAAGATTGCTTTGGCATTTTATCACATACCTTTTTCAGATATGATTACTCTCTAACTTACTCGTTCTGGCGCCGGTTTCCTTCTGTTTTCTTTTTTTTTTCCTGCAAGAGGTGTCCATTGAATTCTGGAGTTCAGAGAGACCCAATACTTTGTTTCTTGTTTGTTTATTTTTTTACTCACAAATAACCTGTGTATGTTTATTTTTTATTTATTTATTTTTATTAGTTATCCATTTTATACAGATCAGTGTATACATGTCAATCCCAATCGCCCAATTCATCACACCACCACCACCACCCCTCTGCCGCTTTCCCCTCTTGGTGTCCATACGTTTGTTCTCTACATCTGTGTCTCGATTTCTGCTCTGCAAACTGGTTCATCTGTACCATTTTCTAGGTTCCACATATATGCGTTAATATACGATATTTGTTTTTCTCTTTCTGACTTACTTCATTCTGTATGACAGTTTCTAGATGCATCCACGTCTCTACACATGACCCAATTTCGTTCCTTTTTATGGCTGAGTAATATTCCATTCTATATATGTACCACATCTTCTTTATCTATTTGTCTGTTGATGGGTAGTTAGGTTGCTTCCATGACCTGGCTATTGTAAATAGTGCTTCAATGAACATTGAGGTGCATGTGTCTTTTTTTTTTTTTTTAATAAATAAATAAATTTATTTATTTTTGGCTGTGTTGGGTCTTCGTTGATGTGCGTGGGCTTTAGCTGCAGTGAGCGGGGGCTACTCTTAGTTGCTGTGCACAGGCTTCTCATCGTTGTGGCTTCTCTTGTTGCGGAGCATGGGCTCTAGGCGCGCAGGCTTCAGTAGTTGTGGCACGTGGGCTCATTAGTTGTGGCCTACGGGCTGTAGAGCTCAGGTTCAGTAGTTGTGGCGCACGGGTTTAGTTGCCCCATGGCATGTGGGATTTTCCCAGACCAGGGCTCGAACCCGTGTCCCCTGCATTAGCAGGAGGATTCTTAACCACTGCGCCACCAGGGAAGCCTGCATGTGTCTTTTTGAATTATGGTTTTCTCTGGATATATGCCCAGTAGTGGGATTGCTGGGTCATATGGTAATTCTATTTTTAGTTCTTTAAGGAACCTCCGTACTGTTCTCCAAGGTGGCTGTATCAATTTACATTCCCACCAACAGTGCAAGAGGGTTCCCTTTTCTCCACACCCTCTCCAGCATTTGTTGTTTGTAGATTTTGTGATGATGCCCATTCTAACTGGTGTGAGGTGATACCACACTGTAGTTTTGATTTGCATTTCTCTAATAAGTAGTGATGTTGAGCAGCTTTTCATGTGCTTCTTGGCCATCTGTATGTCTTCATTGGAGAAATGTCTATTTAGGTCTTCTGCCCATTTTTCGATTAGGTTGTTTGTTATTTTAATACTGAGCTGCATGAGCTGTTTATATATATTGGAGATTAATCCTTTGTCTGTTGATTCGCTTGCAAATATTTTCTCCCATTCTGAGGGTTGTCTTTCCATATTGTTTATGGTTTCCTTTGCTGTGCAAAAGCTTTGAAGTTTCATTAGGTCCCATTTGTTTATTTTTGTTTTTATTTCCATTACTCTAGGAGGTGGTTCAAAAAATATTTTGCTGTGATTTATGTCAAACATTCTTCCTATGTTTTCCTCTAAGAGTTTTATAGTGCCCGGTCTTACATTTAGGTCTCTAACCCATTTTGACTTTATTTTTGTATATGGTGTTAGGGAGTGTTCTAATTTCGTTCTTTTACATGTAGCTGTCCAGTTATCCCAGCACCACTTATTGAAGAGGCTGTCTTTTCTCCATTGTATATCCTTGCCTTCTTTGTCAAAGATTAGTTGACCATAGGTGCATGGGTTTATCTCTGGGCTTTCTATCCTGTTCCATTGATCTATTTTTCTGTTTTTGTGCCAGTACCATGTTGTTTTGATTACTGTAGCTTTGTAGTATAGTCTGAAGTCAGGGAGTCTGATTCCTCCAGCTCCATTTTTTCCCCTCAAGACTGCTTTGGCTATTTGGGGTCTTTTGTGTCTCCATACAAATTTTAAGATTTTTTGTTCTAGTTCTGTAAAAAATGCCATTGGTAATTTGATAGGGGTTGCATTGAATCTGTAGATTGCTTTGGGTAGTATAGTCATTTTCACAATACTGCTTCTTCCAATCCAAGAACATGGTATATCTCTCCATCTGTTGGGATCATCTTTAATTTCTTTCATCAGTGTCTTATAGTTTTCTGCATACAGGTCTTTGGTCTCCCTAGGTAGGTTTATTCCTAGGTATTTTATTCTTTTTGTTGCAGTGGTAAATGGGAGTGTTTCCTTAATTTCTCTTTCAGATTTTTCATCATTAGTGTATAGGAATGCAAGAGATTTCTGTGCATTAATTTTGTATCCTGCAACTTTACCAAATCCATTGATTAGCTCTAGTAGTTTTCTGGTGGCATGTTTAGGATTCTCTATGTATAGTATCATGTCATCTTCAAACAGTGACAGTTTTACTTCTTTTCCAATTTGTATT